TCAGGCGGCCGGGGCGCCCGCGTCGAGGCGGATGGGCTTCGTGGCGTTCGCGCGGGCTGCCTGGTGGATCTTGAGCCACCTGCCGGGGGGGCCAGGACCAGGGGGACGAAGAATAGTAAAAAAAAGTCAGGGGACGATCGTTCGATGATTTTTTAAGCATCTCTGGCGTATGTTTGCTTTGTCGTCCAGAATCCGCCTCTAGGGGGCCACGCGCGACCGAAGGCAAGCATGCGACAACTCGTTCTAGGGGAACGAAGAATGACATAAGCAGAAAAACTCGGAGGTCCGCGCGGTCCTCTTGGATCCGCGCTGGAGCCCCCTATCTCTGGCGGCGCCTGCGGCGCCGCCCCTGGCGCGCTCGGCGCGCCAGGGAGGGGGTCCAGCGCCGATCCGAGAAATCCGCGCGGGGATCTCCGAGTCTTTATGTCTACGTCATTCTTCGTTCCCCTAGACCTGTATCCAGGAACAAAGGGCGACGTAAACATTTGTGCGGGCCAAGAAAAATACAACACCCCCATCTCCATGCCTCCTCCCTCCTCTTTCTCTCTCCTCTCTCGTCTCTCCTGGGGGAGGGAGGGGGCGAGGACGTCACTCTTCGTTCCCCTCCAGACGTCTACCGCGACGAGCAACCGAGCCGGCGGAACCCTCGAAAAGTTGGGCCCCGGGAGGCCCCCTCCGGGCCTCCCCGGAGCCGGGAGGAGTCGAGGCGCCGCCTAGGGGGGAGGAGCGCCCACGCCCGCGAAGCCTGCAGGACGGAGGCCCTGGCAAGAGCTCGTCGGCACGCCCTCGATGGGCCTGTTTTTCCACCACCGCCACCATCAGTTGGAGGGGGAGGACGCTCCTCCTCCTCCTCCTCCTCCTCCTCCTCGTCCATTTCCTCCTCCTCGTCCTCCTCCTCCAGTTCCTCCTCCTCCTCCTCCTCCTCCATTTCCTCCTCCTCCTCCTCCTCCTCCTCCACCACCTCCTCTTCCTCCTCCCCCTCCTCCTCCTCCTCCTCCTCCTCCTCCTCCTCCTCCTCCTCCTCCCATCCAATTCATGGTGGTGGTGGTGGGAAACAGGCCCATCAGCCCTGGCCTGGGGAGGCGAACGAGGAGCGGAAACACTAGGACGACGCCACGGTACCCTCATGTGACTCGGACGACGCCACCGCGCCCGCAGCGCGCGGGGTTGCGCGGAGAGGGCGGGCCAAGCCCGAAGCCCGTGTCGCACGCACGCGTCGAGGACAAGAGGGGTGGTGACGACGACGACGACGACGACGACGACGACGACGACGACGACGACGACGACGACAGCGACGACGACGACGAAGGGATCGAACGAATGATCCGACAGACAGGCGAAGAACGGAAAGGAGAACGAATGGCGACGAACACAGTGAGGAGGAGCGGAAGAGGAAGTGCAGCAGTAGTGGCACAGCGCGACGCCGAGGCCACCCTCACGAGTAATCCCACGAGCCCTGTAGGAAATACTTGGCTCAGGGCGTCTCCTCTTTCAACCCCCTTCTCCCCCTTCGTGGAGGGGGTCCTGTCAGACCCTTATCAACAATGTCTCTTCCCCCACTCGACCGTTTACTAACAACCAGGCCCCATGCAAACAAGCCCCCACCATCCCTTGAGAAGAATTGTCATAGAAAGTGCACGGTGCGGCAAACTCGTGGGTCATGTTCGGATGCCCCGCGAGCATTTTGCATTGTTGTTTGGCAGGGGCGGCGGGGGTGTCTGCATATTACCTACTGTGCGCAGGGTCTGCCCCCCCTGTCAAGAAACAGTGCAAACTTTACGTGGCGGCCAAGCTTGGATCATGCGCGGGCACCCCGCCACTACCTTGCATTGATTTTTGACAAGGGCGGCAGGGGTGATGGCATATCGCCTGCTGTGTGCAGGCCCACCATACACCATGATGGCCACCCTTCCACGATTGTTCAGTGGTCTTTCGGCGGCGACAGTGGGGGCCGACATGTCTACCGATGTGCGCGGGCGCACTTGGCACACGCTGCGCGTGCCCCGAATATGGCACACCAGTTGCGGCTGGAGCATGCGGCACACTTGGCGCACGTACAGCACGTGGCGCATCTGGCGCACCAGGCCTGCCTGGCACTCTTGGGCCCCAGGGGCGCCTAGCACGCCTGGTGCGGCTGGCGCGCCTAGCACGCGTGGCGCACCTCGCCCCAGAGTCGCGCACTGGGATCTGTATCATCTAAGGACACCCGCTGAATATGCTGAGACCCGGGAACCAATTGCGTGTCGGGAGGTGGGGTTAAGCCAAACACTTTGCGTCTGGGAGAGGTCCTGATCACTGCCCCCTATTCACAGACACCCCTTCCCCCATACGACCAGCATCTAACCAGGACCCATGCACAACCCCCACCCATCACCCCTGAAAGCATACAACACGAACCACACTTTGCCTCCAAAGGCGGGGCATGCGCGGGCGCCCCGCGACGGCCTTGCATTGATGTTGACACAGGCGGCGGGCGTCTGCGCGCAGGCCACCACCCCCATTCCCCATCCCGTGCCAACGACAAAGCAAACTGCAAGATGCACTCTGCACCACGTCTGGTCCATGCGCGGACGACGCCTCGCGCTCACACTGCGGGCACCTGGCCTGCCGCGCGGAGGCCGCCCGCAGCTTCCGCAGAGGCAGAAGCCGCACAAGCAAAGGGGCGGCGGCGGGGGGTGAGCGGCACACTGGCTCCCGTGTGCAGGCCCACCGTCCCCCTGCCAAAGCACGGAGGCGAAACCACCGTGGGGCGCACACCCGCACACAGCCCGCCGTCGCTTTGCACTGGCTTTTAGCAGGGACGGTGGGAGGGCAGACGCGTCGCCCAACATGGCGCACCTTGTTGCGCGCGGCGCAGCCGGCATGCGCGGCGCACCTCGCGGGCTTCGCGCACCTGGCTGGCATCTGCATCGGTTCCCGATGGTTGTCGATGGCGGCCCCTGTCGGTGCGGAGGTCCCGGTGCTACTTCTGCGTTGGGACCGCGGGTGGGAATGAGCGAGCTGGCTTGTGGCTTGCGGGTAGCTTGACCCCCCCTACCCGCTCCCTCGGGGTTTGGCTGGGGCGCCCCGCGACCGACTAGAGCGACCCAGGAAGGCCTCCACGAAAATGCAAGATCATTGTTCCTTTGGTCTGTTGGCCTCCTGGGGGGGGCGATGCCGCCAGAATTCCCCCTGTTCTTTGTCTGGCCAGCAGCCTCCCACGTGGCCCAGATACGGCCCGAAAGGCCCGCAAGAGATCCCCGAAGAGGCCCTCGAGAGGCCGCGGAGGAGGCCCCCGGAGGCTCCCCCGAGGCACGCAAGACGCTTCGAGATGCCCCCCCAAGAGCCAGCAAGAGGCCCTCAAGACGTCTCCGTAACCCTCTAAGAGACAAGCGGGAGGAACCCCACGGCACCCAAGCATCCAAGGTGCCTCTGACCCACACAGGCCCTGGAGATCTCCTGATGCTGCCACGCTCCCCTATTCAGGGCAGCTCCTCGAGGCATCGTGACTGGATGGTCTGGTTGGGATTGTTTTTTCCGTCGCAGCCGCAAGCAAAGGCGCAGGCGGCGTCAGAGGTCAACCCGGGCTACGGGCGAAGCCTAATTGCCCAGCGAACACACTCATGGCTGCCGAAGCTGCCGCCGAGGGAGGCTGAGGGGCGCCGGGGGCTGAAGGCAGGCTGCGAAAGCTACCAGGAAAGCCAGGCGGCGAGCGTGCGGGCATCCCAGAGGCAAGACCACCGGAAAGGGTTAATTGAACCTTGTCGCACCAGGCGCCAGAGGTAGAAGCGCCACCAAGCGTGGCGAAGCGCGGGGCTGCACAAACAGTCCAACGTGCTAGGCTGCAATCCAACAGGGACGAACACGCTGGTTGGGATACGCGGAGCGCGGAGAAGTAGCGCGAGGAGGAAAAGACGCGGGGGGACGACCGCGAAGACGCGGCAGCGTGCGGAGCCGGACGTCGCCGAGCACAAGGTCGCTGCGGCACCTCCGACGCCATGGCTTTGCACACGACGCACGCCGGGGAACCCTCGAGCGCAGCCCCATCTGGGCTGGTCTTGAGCGGCCACGTCAGGGGGAGACGGGCTCAAGGGGGGGGGGGGAAGCGTCGCCCGCTACGGGGGGGGTTCGGCGAAAAGCCCCCGATAGCGAATGCGCATGGTCCTGGGCGGGGTGGGTTATCGGGCCCTTATCGGCGATTCATCGGCGTTGGCCCTCATGCTGTCGAAGCCTGCTGTCTGATGACCCCCCCTGTTACCAAACAAGTGCCCGTCATGATCGCTGCTTCGCGACACTTGGAGGTATGAGCGGCGCGCGCTCACGGGGACTAGAGGCCTCCTAGAGTGGGTCCTAGTAGGTCGAAGTATTGCACCACATCGGCGATGCATCGGCAATGCACCGCCGACGTCGGCGACGCATCGGCGACGGCGGCGTGGAGAAACGCGGGCTGCGGCGCGAACCTACGATCCCATTCACTCCGACTCCATCTGGGGGGCCTGGACTACGGCCAGACCTAAGACTGAAGAACATACTTCAAGACCATGAATCCCTCCGCCGGCCAAAACACACAGAACATCCAAGGGCACCGTCCCCCAGGATGCACAAGAACATCAAAGAAGCGCGAGGGACACCAGGGCACCCTCCCACAACAGACCTCCATCTTATACCTCGGCGTGAATACGCTCCGTGTCTCTCACACACAGAGTGCAATGGGGGGGAGTCACATTTCGGGGGGGGGGGATGCGAGTTGTCTTGCCATGCTCGAGGGGGTGCCTGGGCAAAAGGCCGCGGTGTCCTGGCCCGCCTGGGGGAAAAGGGGGAGGGCTAAAAGATTTAGCCCTCCCCCTCCCCTTCTACCCGGGCCAGCCGTCTGGGAGGGCCGCGAGTGTTAGCTAAAGCTGTTCGTCTGGGAGGGCTGGGACCCTCCTCATTTTTAATTACGAAATCTGGAGCATCCGGATGGGGGGGGGCACGTGTTCCAGCGTTCGATTTGCAATCCAATTCGCGTTCGATTAAAGCAAAAATGAGTTACGCACAAGAGAGAGGCTGGCCACCCCTCCCTTTCATTACAACATATGGGGCATCTAAACGCGGAGATGAGGCCACATCTCGAAGCCCATGTCGTCGGCCTGTTTCATGAACTGCATGGGGATCCACGTGTTGTCGTCGCTGGTGAAGCACTGCGGCCACCCCCCGTCCCCGACCCTCGGACCCCCCCCATGCGTTCCGCCCCGCCCCGCCCCCCCCCCCATATCCACGCGCAAAATCAGGGGCAAGGGGGACAAGAGATGAGGAGGGGGAGGAGGCGGAGGAGGAGGAGGAGGAGGAGGAGGAGGAGGAGGAGGAGGAGGAGGAGGGGGAGGAAGAGGAAGAGGAAGTGGAGGAGGGTAAGGGCGGGGCTGAGGATGAGGAGGACAAGCGCGAACCATAGAGTCGTCAAAAATGTTGGAATTCACCCTCCCTCCAAGCTCCCATTTCATATACCACGACGCCGGCTCATTTCAATGGATGGACATGCCTCGTTGGAAGACGCCGCTGAAAACCCTGAAGCATGTTGAAACCTTGTTCTCGGGATTTCATCACCACGGATCAACATGGCTGCTGCGTCTTGACGATCCATAATCGTGCCATAACGCCATCTTCGGGATTTCGCCGCCGCGAAGCAACATAACTGTTGCACCCGCAAAATCCTGAACCCTTCCAGAACACAATGCCTGGTACGCTGATCATGCGAATCCATGAATCTCTTGCAACCTGCACGAACGAATGTGCGCGGCGCTGGGGGGGGCAACCACATTTTGAAAACGACCCGCCCTCAAGCCGCGAAGCTCTTGCAAACGCTAAAAACGAACGCGCGCGGCGCTAGGGCGATAACCACATTTTGATAACGACCGGCCCTCAATCCGTGAAGCTCTTGCAAGTGTTTAGAGCGAGCGCGCGCCGCGCTGGGAAGAGAACGGCATATTGAGACCGACGCGCCCTCAGTCCGCGCAGCTCTTGCAAACGTTGAAAACGAACGTGCGCGGCGCTGAGGCGAAAGCAACATTGATAAAACGACCCGCCCTCGATCCGCAGGCTCACGGGCAAGGAGGACAAGAGATCCAGAGGACCATAGACGAGGAGGAGGAGGAGGAGGAGGAGGAGGAGGAGGAGGAGGAGGAGGAGGATTGGTTGGCCTCGACCGGCACCACCACCTGATTGACCGCACGCGCCATCTGTAGGATAATGGCGCGTGGCAACTCCCACAGTTTCCGCCTGCAGAAGTGCGGCGCGAGGCACGTGCCCCCGTGGCCACGACCGAGAGGAGCGCGTGATCCGCGAACGGTGCGCGAAACAGGGCACGCAAGGAGCCCGTGCTCCGCGCGCCCTGCTCCTCGGGGCAGGGGGCGCCTGAGGCCGTGCACCGACGTCCAACCTACCCACCACCCACTCCATGGATGGCCGCTGGCGACTAAGAACGATTTTCTCATCGCTTGGCCCCCTGCGGGCAAACAAGGGTGACGATCGACGCGCCGCTTTTCCTGGGAAGGGGCCCCAGTGGCACAGGTGCCAAAAGAGGAGGAGGAGGCTGAGGATGGGAAGGAGGAGGAGGAGGAGGAGGAGGAGGGGGAGGAGGAGGAGGAGGAGGAGGAGGAGGAGGAGGAGGAGGAGGAGGAGGAGGAGGAGAGGGAGGAGGAGGAGAAGGAGGAGGAGGAGGAAGAGGAGGAGGCGGCCGCGGATGAGGAGGAGGGGGAGGAGGAAGAGGAAGACGACAATGGAGGAAGAGGATGTTTCCCGGAGGCCCCAAGACAGGAAATCACAACAACTGCCACGCTGGCCCTGACGGAGTGCTGGCGTGGCTGCCGCTGCCTTCTCGCGCTGCCCACTGCGAGCAGCCGGCGCCGCCATCCCAGGTGTCGGGACGAGGCGCGCCCTCGCAGGCGAGGGGGCGAGACCAGATGGATAGGAAGAAGAGGAGGACGAACATCCGCCGACCCCCGCTTGTCGAGGGGGGCAAGAGGGTAAGATGGTAAATGTCTGGTCTTAACGGCGTCCAAGACGGCCCGACGGGCCCCAAAGATCGCTCCAATAAGGCCCAAGAAGCCCCCAAGAGGGCCCGAAGGCGGCCGATTATGGTCCCAAGACGGCCCAAGAGGCGCCCAACAATATGGCCCAAGAGAGCCCTAACATGGCCTCAAGAGGAGCCCAAGAGAGGTAACTCGAACTGACATTCTGAACCCTCCGCCCCATGAGGACCCCCGAGACAGGATTAGGGAGAGAGGCAGAATGTGGGGAGGAGGAGATGGTGGAGGAGGCGTCGGGGGGGCCCCTGCCACCTCCTTCCCCCCCCTCTCCTTCTCCCCTCTCCTCCTTAACCTCCCCTCCTCGACTCCTCTCCCCTCTCCCTCCCCGCCTCCCCTCAATCCGCTCGCCGCCTTGTCGATGGGGGCGTCTGGGTCCTTGAGGGCCTCCACCTCGCGGCGGGGGGGGGAGGAGAGGGCGACGAGCGGGCGAGGGGGGCAGGGAGAGTCTCCGCCTCCTCCTCCGCCTCCTCCTCCTCCTCCGCCTCCTCCTCCTCCTCCCCCTCCTCCACTTCTTCCTCCCGAGAGGGAAGGGGGGCAACATGGGGAACGGGGGTGAACAAAGGGGGAGGGCGCAGGGAGGCGGCAGGGCAGAGGACGAGAGGGGGACGTGGAGATGCAGGGTGGGGAGGGCGAAAGAACAGAGAGGAAAAAAGAAAGGGCGCGGAAGCGGAGGAAGGAAGGGAGCAGGCAGATAGAGAGAGAGAGAGGAGAGGAGAGAACGAGAGACACCGAATCGACCTAGACATACGCAGACAGAAGGGGAGACGTAGAGACACAGAGAGGGAGAGAGAACAAGAGAGAGAGGGAGAGACAAATTACTCGACGCGGAGATCCCCATATGTGCAGCTCATAATGATGGCAATCGTCGGTAGAAGGCATTGTCCTTGTCAATATCCGAGTGTGGGCGAATACATGTGGAAAACGAGGCCGAGAGAGACGCCGACGACTACGACGACTTTAAATAATTGCTTTCTCCTTCCGTCCTCCTCCTCCTCCTCCTTGTCCTCCTCCTTTACCTAGAAGCACCTGTCAGTAAAATCCTTCCGTGGAGGCGAGAGCGGGCCCGTGCAATACCCCCAAGCGCCCCCCCCTGGGGAGTGCTGAAGCCAACGCCTCGCCTGAGACATCCTCGGATACTGCTCCGAAAGAGAAGGATGTTGGGCACCCAAGCAGGCAAACCGCATGAGACATCCCCCCAACCTGGGCGCGAACAGGCCCGTGCAATACCCCCTGGCGCCACCCTTTGGGAGTACTGAAACCAGCGCCTCGCCTGAGACATCCTCGGAAACTGCTGCGACAGAGAAGATGTTGGGTACCCATACAGGTAAAGCGCCTGAGACATCCCCCCAATCTGGGCGCGAACGGGCCTATGATATACCCCCTGGCGCCCCCCCCTGGGAGTTCTGAAACCAACACATCGCCTGATACATCCTCGGAAACTGCTCCGAAAGAGAAAGATGTTGGGCACCCAAACAAGAAAACGGGTGAAGTATCCCCAATCTGGGCGCGCACGGGCCCGTGATATATCCCCCCTGGCGCCCACTCTTGAAGTGCTGTAACCAGCGCCTCGCCTGAGACATCCCCCCAATCTTGGCGCGAACGAGCCTGTGATATACCCCCTGCCCCCCCCCCCCTGGGAGTGCTGAAACCAGCGCCTCGCCTGAGACATCCTCGCCTGAAACATCCTCGGAAACTGCTCCGAAAACGCAGGATGTTGGGCACCTAAACGGGCAAAGCGCCTGAGACATCCCCCCCATCTGTCCACGCCGCCGACGAAGCCGACAGGGTCGTCGTCCGGGAAACATACTTGCGTAAACAGAATTAACTCTAAGGTCCGCGCGGATCTCTCTCGGCGCTGGGGCCCTCTGGCGGCGCCTCAGGCGCCGCTCCTGGCGCGATCCGCGCCCCAGGGAGGGGCCCCACGGCGTCGATCCGAGGAATCCGCGCGGACCTCCGAGTTTTTATGTTTACGTAGCACTCCGCAGTTACTCGGCAGTCTGCGAGGCGCTGAAGGAGCACGCCGCAGGCGCTTGAATTATGAGTGAGCCCGCAGGCGCCGATCTCTTCGTTAGAGCAATGTGGGTGGGTCGCGTGCGGGTCGCGGGGTGGGTCGCGGGTGGATCGCGGGTTAGGTCGCGGGTGGGTCGCGGGTGGGTCACGGGTGGGTCGCGGGTGGGTCGCGGGTGGGACGCGGACCGGGTCGCAGGGGGGGACGACAACAAACAACAATCATACAAAACACAACAACAATAATAGCAACCGCAACAACAGCAGCAGCAACAACAACACCAACACCACCACCACCACCAACAACAACCTCAGCAACAACAATAACATCAACATAAACAACACCAACAACAACAGCAACACCATCAACAACAATAATTACATCAACAAGAAGAACAACAACACCACCAACAACATCGGCATCAGCAACAACAACGAAATATCAACATCAACAACATCAACAACAAGAACAACAACATCAACATCAACAACAACAGCAACAGCAACAACAATCACTTTACCCGAACGCTCAGTGTTCTCACCAGTGCCAGGGTTTTCATGCGACGCCAGCCAATACCCCCACGTTGTGGGGTGGCAGTGCAAGCTCTACCAAATATCCACACGACTCTTCGCCACCACCCACACCCAGCTTCCCGCCCTATGACGTTCGGACACTTCACTTCGTGGCCTGCGGACGACCGTGGCTACTACACTGGCGTGGAGTACACACCCACAGAAGTTGTTAGGACAGCGCGCGCGGGTAGAAATTTTGAAAAGTCGTGCAGGTGTTTTTCGAGGACCTACGGTGCGATTCGTGTGATTTTATGATGCGCGGTGCTAAAATGAAGCCCAATGGTTTTTGGAGATTTCGGCGTGCGCGCGCGAAGAAAAAACGAATGTGTCCCGCATGGTATTATTTGACAGGGATGATGGCCCTGGCAGGTGCGCAACCGTTGTCGCAGAAGTTCGAAAAAGTTGCTCGCAAAAGCCCGTTTGACAGAAATGTTTAAAAAGTGTTGGGTTTCCTACGAATCCGCAAGAGCGCGCGGGATGAGATTTTGACATTTTTTTGTTGAAAAACCATTGGTTTTTTGATGTTTTTATGTTAAAATCGCTCCGAACACTAAGCTTTTGGAAGGATTTCGTCTTGCGCGCGCGAATGTCCACTTTACCTTATTTTTTGCAAGGGATTCTTGAAATTTGATTATATTAGAACAAGAAATGTCATTTTATAGTGTTTTTTGCAAGGGAAAGCGGGGGGGAACAAAACAACCGGATCTTGATCACATCGAATTACCTGAGGCTTCCTCACGAAAATGATGAAAATGTAGCTGCGGCCTAGGCGGCGCAGGGGGGCCGTGCACCAGGGGCCCCAACAATAATTATTCTTTAGAATTAATAATGTTCAACAACACAACAATCCTCACGCAAAAACTCACTTCAACCACGCGCCCAGGGACAGAGACTGACCGTTCGCCCCCCTCACTCTGATGTCATAATTTGTTCCCTTTTCGGGGATCTCCTCACCCAATCCAGACCCGTGTCAATCAGGCCTTGCAGAATCCTGCAAAATCCTGCATCCAAACCTGGGGCAACGCGAAGGATCCTGCAAGATCCTGCACCCAAGCCCGGGTCAGTGCGACCCTGGCCCTGCAGGATTCGGCAAGATCCGGCGCTCTGGCTGACCCCCCTTTGCATGGACCCCCGTCTCTTGAGCTGCGACCCTCCCAGAGATCCGATGTCGTGATTTTTTCAATGCGCGGTCCCGCGAAGTCTCGACCCACTTCCTAGGACCAATTTTTCATCCTGAGTCGTTTTTTGACGGTCCCGGGGCCCGGCGAGGGCCCTAAGAGGCCAAAAAATGAGAAAAACCTCCGTCTTGATATTTTCAATACATAGGATCTCTGGGCTTGTCGTCGTCGTCGTCGGGGCCGCCCCACCGAGCGGTAGCCCAGCCAACGTCTTGCCCAGGCTGCCCGGTGCCGCCAGGCTGCCCGTGTGCCGCACGGGCTGTGGGGGGGGACGGCCTCGGGGCTGGGCAGAACACCCTTTAGTAAAGTGAAAATGACCTCGGGCCCAAACATACTCCCAAAATATCCAAACATACTACAAGAGTGGTCGAAACACCGTTCCCATTTTTCACAATTTTGAAACATTCCTCCTGCAGAGGGACAAGCCTGACTTAAAGCGAAGCGAAGCGAAGCGCGCAAGTCCGCCGGAGCGGGACCCTTGAGGGTCGGCGCGGGCGGGCCGGGGCCCTTACACCGTGGTGCCGGAAATGTTCATAAAGAAGCCGTCGCATGCGTGATAAATTGTCCCTCCAATCTGTGCCGCACACAAGTGTCGCAAGCAAACTGTAACCACCATCGGCAAAGGGTGTCGTCGGATGCCCTTATGTCGTCCAGCTCGTGTGAGATCAAAAAGCTGACGATATCATGATCCCGTCTTTTCCGCTGTCCTCCGTGTTTCCTCTGTGCAGGTCGTTTGTCATGTACTGGGGGTTCCCAGACGGCGGCGCGTCGTGACCAGCGGTCGGTAGATTGGTTTGCTATGCGGCACGCCCACCGCCACTTCCTTTTGAAATAAACTGTTGTCCAATATTCGATTTGAGCTCGTTTGGCGTGGGCGTCAGCTGCGTGCGTTGCTCTCCGGACGAAGTCGATCCAGGATTCTGTGGTGAAGACGTCAGATGTGCTACCGTTGTCGCTGTCGCCGTTGTCTTGGATGCTGTCGTTGGAGTCGCTCTCAGGCGTTGTGGTCTCTAGGTTCGTTTTCTCCACGTGCTCGGAATTGCTGGCCTGATGGTTCGTTTGGTCGTCGTTATCAGGGGGGCTTTTCGTGCGCCTCCTGCTGGTGCCAACTATTATTATGATCATCTTGCGTTGTGTCCGCTGTAGTGTAATGAACACGTCCTTAATAATAACCCACGAAGTGCATCCGTACGTAACAGCAGGCGTCACAGTCCCGTTGAAAAGTCGTAAGCGGCTAGCAAGAGGGTAGTGTTTGCAAGTCAATTCGTGCCTCAGCTGGTTGAACTTGCGCCATCCATAAGCAATTCTCTAGTTGAACTCCTTTTCGTGGAAGCCGTGAAACGTGAGTTCGCTGCCTAAATACTTCGTGCTCTGCTCCGCTTCCAAGATCTCAACATTGCCCCCGTCGATGGTGACAACTTGAATTGTTCTACCCTGGCGCCGGGTGACATTCGTAAGTATGTTGGTCTTGTCTGGGCGTAGTTCCAGGCCGCATTGGGACGACTGGTTCTTCAGGTCGCAAAGTAAGCATTTCAGTTGGCGTAGACTCGGCACATACAATAAAATATCGCCTGCAAATCGAAGATTGGTAATGGTGAAGTCTGTGGTAAACCCCATTTGTATGTCGAACTT